AATCACGAGGATATTTATTGAGCGTACGAGGTTATGCAAGAAAGGTTATTACGAAGTGTGTCGGGCTTGTCCCCTAGCGCTCAGGCGGTCCGCCCCCGCCAGGTGAGGTCGTGAGGGGATCATCGCCTGCGATACGCAGGCGATGATAGCGATCCTGCACAGAAGTAGTCGGCGCGAATGCATCCCAAAACCGGCTGATTAACGCCAGACACTTTTCTCTCCTGTACTTTGAGTTCGACGATTATGCGATCACTAGACCATTTTACTAAGGAACAATGTGCCCTTAAATTATGTCCACTTTTCACGATAACGGCTTTCTTCACAAAGCTCCTTGGTTTTCTCAGACATCTTAGAGGACGACTCGGATGAGATGTCAGTCTAATGAAGTTCACGTATTACCCCCGTGACAGCTTCAAGCAAACTCAATCCCGGTCCACTTCAACAGCTTGAGTGATACGGCCCCAACTTGAAGAAAGTCTTTCATTTTATGGATGTGGAATGCCATCAATTTATCAACACTGACAGGCAAAAGTCAAGCACGCTCCCCTGCCAACAGCAAGTTTTACAGCGGAAGGTCCTTACTTTTGCAGTGAAGGTACTGACTGCTGCTTCCTTCTAAGGGACTAACAGAAGTACAGAAAGGAAAAGGAAACGATACGAGAAGATCGCTGTCCATACCTGTCTAATATCGCTAGTTTATACTTTCATAACTAGAAAACCCTTTAAGGACCATGGTGCCTACTCAAAAGCTACCCCTAGATCGGAGTGCCGTGTTGAGCCATTTGGACGAGTTTGGTAACAACACAAATAATGTGCTCATTATCTAACTTAACTCCAAAATACTTAAGTCGAGCATTGTACAATGGTTCGAAATCGGAAAAATTTCAATTTGACATTGATTCTTTGCTTTCCCATATAGTTCTCGAAAATGTAGGTATTCAAATCCTTCCCACTCCTGGAGTCATTTTCAAAATGGAGTACTCGACGAGTAAAAAACGTACTTGAATAATCGATTGTTCCTATGCTTATTTTGAGGACTTCAAACGAGTAGAGATTCCTGAGACAATCTGCAGAAGTTGATCAAACACGCCAAAGCTGATCATCATTCCGGCGATCATTCAATTCTCTGAAAATCCTTACTATACATTTAACTAATACATGCAACTCATGGAGACACAATTTTTCGAATTCTCAGCCTAGGTACATGTGGGCGATTCCATCGTCCCAGACAAGTTACAATTTATACCTATCCTCCCAGACGAGTCCGGGACCAAGTGGTATGAAAGGCTTGGTTGGCTTATGCGGATATTGTTCCGGGATCCGAACCCTTCACGGTACCTGGTGATAGTAGTGCACGCCGTTTGATTCTACACCACCTCCGCCTCAGATATGATATAACTAAGAATTTTATGGTGCTTTTCCGGGCAGGTCTCAGCTTCGGAACGCCTTCCTATTCACGTGCACGGTGGGTTTCGCGGAATGATTTGTTCTTCGCACTGAAGAAATAGTCGCATGTCCAAATGAAAACATCAGTAGACAGTAACAATTAAAGAGCCCTACATCCATCAATCAAAGTTTTTATCACAATTATTCTCCTCGGCCTGTACAAAATCGGGCCACCCAACCTCCCACACAAAGTGTGTTCGTTCAGTTCGTGAGGGGCGTCACTCTTCCGAAGAGGACCTTCCTCTTTTATATATGCTATCATATGCTCTATCACTTACTAGTTGGGGTTATATTCTCATAGACATGTTTGCAGCCGAGTCCACGGTGAAGCAATAGTAGCGGATGTCGCCAATGGGGAAGACCGGATCACCCAGTGACAGGAAAAACCTACTCACGATCAAAAGAACTACATTAGAATGATGCCAGAAATAATAGTCGCCTGGCGATTGGGCTTTATGCATGTATCTAGAGTTCTAGAAATATTATAATGAGGCAAATGGTCCGCGATTGTCGCGCGCGGCGAATTGGTTACACAAAACCGATCCTACAGCCCGTCTCCCCATTGATTCTCTTAAAAACCGTTATTCGTACTAGTAAAGAAGGACGTATCTTATGTTCTATCTCGTCTGAAAAGTTTCTTCTTTCTATTTTAGCTGCATTGAAATTTTACTTTCAGATGAAAATCACAGTGATTTTTTTGATAGCGTCTTTACTGAGCATCGCTTTTGCACGACAGGAACTCTTTGGGCCAATTATGGGTTGGTGTCACGATTCCCAGTTGTTACGAGTCGATAAAACACCAAGAATGCTTGACTTCGTCGGACCTTGGCCTTGTGGTATGTCATTTCTTCGAATATATCCATTTTTTAAAGAACTTCGTAATGAAGGGGCAGCAGGTTACCCATAGGTTTGTGGAAAAAGATTTTAGCAAGGTTTCCTGTACTTGTGTTTTCAAACGGTTGACTAGTGCAAAATTCACCTACCGAAGCGTACCTCGTTGACGAAAACAGCGATTCTTTGGCTTCTCTTTGACTTTCCAAGCAAACGTGATACTAATTGTAGTCATTTACCAAGACGAGGCTTGATTTCTAGGCAAGTTTCGGTCCTGGAATATTCTTTCGAAAGAATTCGTTGAGCTTCGCCGTAGTGATCATGTTCGAACTTTAGAAAATCTATTCAAAGTGTATAGATGCCTTAAATTTATTTGTAAAATCTCAATTA